TTGTTAATACATGCATACGGTGCTTTTTACGATAGCTTTACGTTCCCGCACGCGGACTCCGGTTTCACTGCGCGACTGATGGTTGGTTGACTGGCCGGATGGTCAGTTAGCAAGTATTAACTCGTTCGTTCGAAAAGCCCGCTTCGCTACCCTCTAACGTCAAATACGTTTCTCATGCTTTTATCATGGGCATGATACACGTTGTCGAGGCTCACATTTACATCACAGAGAAGCAGCAACAACAAGCACAATGCGAAACACGCTAAACACTAGCTGCCTGTTAATGTCGATGAATGATCTCATCGCTGCATGCGGAGACAAGACATGCGGGGCGCTGTTAGCCAGAAAGTCAGTGAAGGATCAGGCCCAATGAAAATACATATATTCCTCTTTCAATAATGGCCTCTATGTTTTAAGCTTGATGCCCGGTATCGCCGTTAGGCGTTCCATCAGGCAGACGGCTGACTCCCAGCATGAAACGGAGCCTGTCTATGCTTGGGTCCGAATCTAGACCACAATGTGCCCCTAAGACTTGAGAGCAAATACGTTGCCCACTAAGCTATCACGGGACTTTATTATTTCAATAATGGCCGATCTGAACTGCAACCAGCATAGCAGTCAAGACTAGAATTAACACTTCTCTCAGTAAAGCCTTGTTTGTTAGTGCTGTTTTTTAGTAGCGTAGTTTCGCGGCAACGAGTTCCTTGTCGGACAGTTATTGCTAGGATTGTTGTGGCTATGGAAAAAAGAGCCTGCATTTGATAGTATTTCTATCGTTACTACCAAATTTCTCTAAAAATTAAATTGGGTATGCATACTGTTAGATCCTCATGAAAGGTATATGTCTGAATGAAATATCTATCTATAAAAATATCTATATGAAAGGTATGCACATAGATTATTATTATCGTGGGTGATATGAGAGCGTTTATCGATTAGACTACACTTGCTCGTTAGCAACCATGTACTATCTTCTAGTGGTGAAAAAATGATCGTTTCTGTCTTATCATACTTGGGGCATGTCTTAGAGCGATTAGTCGAATTCAACATAAAATAGGCACATTTGCCTCCATGTTTGCGAAGACAAACGTATTAGGGATCTTTTAAATTAAGGAACGTTTGCACATTGCATAAGTCAGTGAACTCGATTTACGCACGAGCATACTCGACGTTTTGACAATGGACATTGTGATGCGTAATGCAACTTCACTAGGCGAGGTACACATGGCACGTATCATGCATGTCGTGCACCTGTAAGATGACTGGGACGTTTATCTGGGTCATCTGAGCTTGCTTTGATTCTTTGTAAACGATTGATGAGAACGCTATTTAGTTGTAACCGATCGCTTCGAACTGACGCATCTACGTCATGGACACGGTGTAAGTGGAGATTTTACAGAATAGATAAAACTCGGACTTCTTGGAATTGCTGTGACTAACTTGAAATTCGACGACAACTGTTACTTACTTATTTGTCTTCGTTTGTTGCTAATGCACTAGTGGGTAAAGGACGCGGAATTTATCCTTAGGTGCGAAGGTTGTATGAATAGTCGGTGCAAAGTGGCTTCAATAAGCTGGTGCGTAAGATAAGGTTTTACTATGAATGAAATGTTTGATAACACGTACAATTTCAATGTGTCTCTGCTATTTTTTTCGGCCCTTATACGGTTCTTCCTTATGCTTTCTATTACTAGGTTATGTCAATCACTGTGCGATGCAAATCTTTATTATAATTAATTATTATTAATTAAGCTTATTCCATTCAGCACCAGAGGTCTCAAATCGTAGTCATTATAGCTATTAATTATAGTTAAAGAATAAACGATACAGTATTTCTATGTTAGACAAGCGCTAATTAAGCGATTATAGGTAAGATAGAGACATAATTTGCCATTACCTGAATCGGTCGACAACAGCAATAGTTCACTTCTCTTGGAAAGAATATGCACGTAATTATTCAATGGAACAACGACGTGCCTGCCCACGTTGTGTTGATATTGTAAGGCCTTAACAATATAGACCATTCCCTAATTTTCGGTAAACTAAGACAGTAGCTTTTAAGCATTGTATCATCTACTAAACAAACTGTCAACATAAGCCTTTGTATATCAAGGCCGTTAGCAAAAATCTTAAAAGCAAGATTAACAATATCCTTGTTTATGATATTAGTGTTACCTTTGCTGCTCTACCTGTGTAATTAAAGAGTTACTTTTGTTCCACCAGACCTCAGACAGCATCTCCGGCTGTAGAAGTCGTTCCAGCTGAAACTCTCAAAAAGCTCGAAGAAGGCTTTCAAAAACTTCAAAAAAGCCAAGAATGCAAGTCATTGCTGAAGAAGCATCTGACACGAGAGGTATTCGACAAACTCAAGCTACGTAAGACTTCAATGGGTGCCACTCTTCTCGACGTGGTTCAATCTGGCTTTGCCAATCTCGACTCCAGCATCGGCGTGTACGCGCCGGATACCGAGAGCTACACCGTTTTTAAGGAGCTGTTTGACCCTATCATCGAGGAATACCACGCTGGCTTCAAGCCTGAAGACCACCATCCTGCAACGGTTTATGGCGACATGGAGAAATTCGTGAACTTGGACCCAACCGGAAAGTACGTTATTTCAACCCGAGTGCGTTGTGGCCGCTCGATAAATTTGTTTCCTCTGAACCCGTGTATGACAGAAGATCAGTACAAACGTTTGGAGTCTGACGTCTCCGCCGCGCTGAATCAGCTCGAAGGGGAGCTCAAGGGCAAATATTACAGTCTTACTGACATGTCTAGCAGCACGAAAGAACAGCTGATCAACGACCACTACCTGTTCAAGGAAGGGGATCGTTTCCTGCAGGCGGCTAATGCATGTCGATACTGGCCAAATGGTCGTGGCATCTATCTCAACGAGGGAAAAACTTTTGTGGTCTGGGTCGGCGAAGAGGACCACGTGCGAATTATCTCCATGCAGAAGGGAGGCGATCTTAAGACGATCTACTCCCGACTGGTAGCCGCCGTCAAAACGCTTGAAAAATCTCTTTCATTTGTGCACGATTCCCGTCTCGGCTGGGTGACTTTCTGTCCGACGAATCTTGGCACGACAATACGTGCTTCAGTACATGTCAGATTACCGAAGCTGGGCGCTAATCGCCAACAACTCGAAGATATTGCAGCGAAATACCACCTGCAGGTTCGCGGCACCCATGGTGAGCATACGGAATCAAAAGACGGTGTGTACGACATCTCAAATAAACGACGATTGGGAGTCACAGAGTTCCAAGCTGTAATGGAAATGCAAGAGGGTGTCCTGGAGCTAATCAAGCAGGAGCAGGATCTCAAATAGGATTGTCGCATGTTTTTCGTTCAAATCTATCACGTTTATTATTAAGACAGAATTTGGTCTCCTTTAACAAAAAGTAAAAATTATTTATCGAGATATGGATATCGAGATAGGGAAAATATGCGATAGAAGCGAAAGGGATATGCTAGGATGAGGTTAATTTAATAGGCATATGTGTATCTTTGTTTTGAGTTTGTCATAGTAATTCAACTCGACAATGTGCAGAATAAAGGTAATAGGTAATTTTTATTTATTAAAACGGCGTATTACTTCAGTTGATCACGCGTGGCCTTTTTTTTCACACTCCCATCTAATATGTCGGTATACATTTTATACTGACTACGTTTTACTACGCTAAACAAGATATTAGTTTAGACACCGATGGATTTTTTTCTAGAATCCGACTGCACGAATGTGTTTATATACGACTTGGTAAAAACGTAATTATCCGCACCAGTTATTATTATAACAAAACAATGTACAAGTTAGTTCCAATGAGTGCGTCGAGTGTTGATGAATGACAACGTCATGTAGGATGGTAATGCTCTGGGCATCACCTGCCTTTACCTGTATTGGCCAAAAAAGCATTTTAAAAAGAGCGCACACATTGTTGAAGACAATTACATGTTCTTGCAGCCGATTACTTTAGTACTATAGCGAGATCGTGTTAGTCGTTCTTGTAGATGCACGCCCTATAGCGGTAGCATCTCTTGCTGGCTCCCCTGTTTTCTGAATCCAACATGGTTCGGTAACGGCTGGCCAGACGTTGATCTGGCCAGCTCACTGTCAGCGACATTAAGATACGTACACTTTTTCCTTGAGGTGATATGGTCATCTTCTTCGGCAAAATGTTCACGTCTGCACTCAATGAAAACCGTAAGGCAAATTACAGTAAATGCAGGGTAAACCCCATATATATATTTATTGATATTTCAGAAAAGTCATACTGAGCAACCTAGCGTTAGGTCAACAAGAAGTCACACTAACGGTTTAACAAAATTTTTTTTTTTAATTTTAAGAAAAAAATCACATACGAATTCATTCTGCCTATGTGCAGTTCGAGAGTATCCCCTTTTGGAACTTGAGTGTGCGGAACTTACGGCGGGTTTTCTAAATCCTGGATACTTACGTCACACTGTGTCTCTTCAGTAGAATTTCACGAATATCATTTACAAGATTTGACTGGCCTCTCGGCTCTTAAACTCTGGCGATTTTTTAAATTCTTCAAGCTCTCTCATTCTATTATTATTGCATTCAATCCTATTAATATACCTACAACATTTTTTCGTGTCCGGCCTGTTTTCGTTTTGCTTAAGCTGACACGCTAAGAATCATCTGCGAAAGGCCCAGCGATTTCCGTGTTGAATTGCATCCACTTTTCGATATTCCGCTTCTTGTTTTCGTCTTATGGCCGAATGCGGTTTCTTTTCGTGTCATCAGGATCATTCAACGCAGTCGGCGAGCGAGCATGATCTAGTGATGAGTGTATTGCCGGGTTTCTGACCAAATATGCCCGCATGTTTAGGACTCTAGAAAGAAGGATATAGTTGTTTAAGGTACGCTCGTATGTAGTCAACAAATACCCCGATGTTGAAGTTATTTGTGGTAGGTCGAACTTATCGTGCAGTGCTTAGCTCTTTTGGTCGCCTGTTTGGCTACAGACAAATGCGGTGAACTACTGCTTCATTCCGGCGTCCAGTGTTTGTCATTTCGAACTAATAGGCCTGTGTGTGTCTTGCTTTGTTGAACTATTGGAATGTAGACGGCCTGGCCGTTTGAAGGCACACAAATTCCTACCCTAAAAAGTACGGTGTGATAAAGCAACAGCTATTGCAATCGTGCTATTCTCTGAAGGGGACCTCGCCTGTTTTCACAAAACGTTTCCTCTCAAGGAATGAGCGTTCATATAAGCCATTTAGCAGGTTTCCATTTTGGTAGCAGCGATGTCTGTGTCGAAAAAAACCTGTCAATCTCATTTAAGGAATAAATCAGCTCGGTAGCGAGACTCGTCATGGCCGCTGCTTATTCACATTCAGCTGCTGTTGTTGTTACCTTCTAGTGGCTAGGCAGCCGGTGCTTTCTGTGTTAAGTAGGCGTACAAGTCAAGCTTTCTGTTCGCCAATCGCTCATTGTGTCCTGTCTACACAACCGTGCATAGTGGCGTGCAGATATGTATACATATATATATATGTACATGCATATATACACCTAGCAGCTGTTACCGGCAACTTATACCGGTGCCTATTAACCCAGGCCTCATCCGATATAGGTTTGTCAGCCCCGAAAAACGTCTGCAATCGCAAGCGTCGCTCGGTGCCATTTTTCAACCAGACATACTAAGGAAGCAGAAGATGAAGTAACAGGGGGAGAGAAAGAGAGGAGCCTTTCGCAAACAAATGATTGTTGCTAATCGACACAAGCAGAACGTAAACAGAAGCATGTTACATGAGCTGGATAGTATGCTTGCGACGCAGTATCGGTAGTAGTTGCTGGCCAGCCGGATGCGGAGAGTAGGCCATCTCAAAGCTGATGAGTTCGTGAGCCTGGCTGGCTGTGGTGGGCTTCCGTCGATTTGCGGTGATCGTGCTACGCACGACTGTGGTGGCACCATTGGTTGACTGAACGAACGGAGGAAGATCGGAAAAGACGACACATATGACAGCGACGATAACACCCGATCTGAGTCGGGTGGTCTACCGAGCCGGTTAAAGCTGTGCTGTCGCGGCCTTTGCGGACACACTGGAACCGTAGCCGCACGCGCTACTAGCGCGAACGTCAGCTTTCTATGTCGCTTCTAAAAGTAATGTCAATAGAATGAAGGGTAAGCCTTAACAGCGCTAGGCAACCATGCCGGCGTCAGCAGTTGGTTCTTGCCTGCAATAAGAGTCTCATCATAGATTCATCCTACTTACGTTTGATCTGCCAGACTCGAACCTACAATACTATGTTCTTAACGATTAACCCACAAACCGGTTGTAAAACTTTTGTCTTCCGATAATATATCTGGTACGCAGGGATTGCCACAGTAGAAGAGCTATATCTGTGTATAGATATGCTGTGTCGTCATTGGGAAAGCATATTTGTTACATTGCTCGTATTGTTAAGCTTGCTCGTGCAACCTGTCGTTTACGAAGGACAAAGAATATAAAAAGCTCAGGGGAAAAAGCGCTCAGTTTGTGTGAATGGACTGGTTGCTATGTAAAGGACCGAAATGTAATATCTGAACTCTTTTCGTTTCCATCAGTCGTTCACCGGATAGCTTTAATATACTGTTATAAAGTTTAACTTTTGCTTCGTATCTATTACACCTACTGTATGAAAAACACATTGCAGTGATGTCTTTCATATATACGAATTGTGACTTCTTACGCGGGTATCCAAGGGGGTAAAAATTAAATTCGTTTTCAAAAGGCCAGGTGATGAAATTGTTACGCCGATTAACACGAGTGAATGAATTCGTCTAATTTGGTAAAATCATAACAAAGATCTTCAGAAAACTAACCCATATTTCAATAGTGGCAGTAGCTGCCTTGAGGGCTATTGCAACGCTACGAACTTGCTAAAGAGCGGTCCGTCTAAGCTGGGGGAGAGCTGAGCGTCATAACAACAATAACAGGTGCGTCTCAGCGCAATCATTCCATACCAAACAACAAAAAGCCTTCCTAAAGGCCAAACGAGTCAAACACCAGTGACCTCGCTAGCACCACAAAGATCCAGCTGTTCCGTCGGCTTGCTTAGGAAGTATGTTTTTCTAGATTATTCACTATATTTATGGCCGACTATTAGGATATAACTCTAGCTGGAAATCTATCGCATGTACACGGTGCTTTATAGACACAGAAATCAATGGAAACATCTGTGAACGCGTAGAGAAAGGGCCTCGTCTGCGAATAACAGCTAGAGTCTGCAGCGTAATTGTGTGCGCGCCCAAATAAACAACACACATAATCATAGCGTTATTAGGCTTAGTTATTTATCCTCTTTGAAGTGCTATCTTCTCTGCCCCTATTAAATGCCTTAATCATTAGATCATGGAACGCGCTTCTGATAACAACACCATGCGATGAATTTAGACTTGTGCCTTATGAGCAGAAAACGAACAGACATACATTGTCTTCTACCGAAATCATAAAACGTTCTGAAACGGCCTCATAGACGAAACCTCTATGTGAAACAGTCTCAGTAGAACTTTAAAAAAATGCGATTTATTTCACTGATTAGTTCTACAGGTTTTAACTTTAGCGCCTATCGGTAGATGGTTGCGTCCGTCACAAAGGTTCAAATGAAGCTTTTACTAGCGATTTTTACGATAAGATAATTGGAGATTTTCGAAAATTCAAATTGGAAAACATTTCAACTGGTTGCTTTATCGTTGAACGAAGAGAAATTAAATAAATAACGCCACTTCCGAACAGATGCTATTACGGCTACAGGGTAATTTGTTAGAAAACACATATTAGTTACGTCTGTTATCTTGGTTTTTGTTGTCCAATAGAGCGATTCGTATATACAATATACGAATCGGTCTCTTTTGCCCTGCGTGAAGCAATGAGTTCCAACTGGAGTAGTGAGGATTGATTGTATCATTGCAGGCGTGTTATGCCGCTGCGCGATCAGCGTGTACGAAGCATGCACTCTTCGCGAGTTTAATAATAGCCGGTAGATTTATTATATTAGCGGCTTTTGGGTACTGTGATGATTGAATGGCATTTATTTATTCTATCCAACTCTCTATAGAGCTATCAAAGATGACTATTGATAATACAGCAACAGTACCCATCGCAACGGCGTTAAGTAACGGGTTGCTCGAATCTGAACAAAGATATATGTCTAGCTCATGATAATAAATGCCCCTTTCATTAACTGCGAACATTTTTACGCTAGATTAGCGTTTCGTTAAAGCGTTTAATAAAAAAAAATGCCAATCGTATATCTGACTGAAAGGTTAAGACGTTTTGTTTTCACTGGACCGTTGCCAGCGGGTCATAGTCTCTATGAGTAAAATATATCTTTGACTACCTTAAAAGTTGAGCCGACTCGAAAAGCCCTTGCATTGGTTTTCTATCAGTTTACAGAAATCGCCGCGACCCAGTTTAGTTCCCATCGGAGAAGGCACTTTGCAGGTCGCCATTTTTCGACGCTTCTGTCTTCGCCAACAAATGCAGGTGGGACAAAAGCAAATGAGGTTTGTCAATCAGTCGCTTGCTTGTCATAAACCTTGAGGCCTACCATTACAGTTTGTCCGCAGCCGAATCTAC